CATGCTCACCCCCCCCCCCCCCCACCTCTATTCAAGCTTGGCTTCTCCATTTTTACATAAATGGCCTCATTCACACCTCTTTTAAACTAGACTTCCCTGTCTAGGATGTGTACTTGACTGTCTTCAATGGAGTGACCTTTTTGCTTTAGATGTAGGTATACTTCTGAATCCTGACCAGAGGGTTTTGCTCTTCTATGCTGTGCCTGCTGTTTTGTTTCACCGACATACAATTCTGAGCACTCCTCACTGCACTGGACATCATACACAATGTTGTTAATCTTGTGTTTTGGCTTTGGGTCTTTTGGGTGAACCAGTTGTTGCCTCAGTGTATTACTGGGTTTAAAGCAGGCAGGGATTTGATGTTTTTAAAAAATCATTGTCAGTTTCTCAGACACCCCAGCTACATATGAGATGACCAAGTTCTTCCGTTAGTCATGCTTTTCACTCTCACTGGTACTCTTGGCATTCTTTCCTCTTCTTTCTGTTTTGACAAAAGCACAGTCTGGATACCCGCAAGTTCTGAGGCAACAACTGGTCCACCCAAAAGACCAAACACCAAAACCCAAGATGAACAACATTGTGTATGCAGTCCAGTGCAGTGAGGAGTGCTCAGAATTGTATGTCGGTGAAACAAAACAGCAGCTACACCAGCGTATGGCATAGCATAGAAGAGCCAAACACCCTGGTCAGGATTCAGCAGTGTACCTACATCTAAAGGAAAAAGGTCACTCATTTGAAGACAGTCAAGTACGCACCTAGACAGGGAGGAGGACTGGTTTAAAAGAGGTGTGAAAGAGGCCATTTATGTAACAATGGAGAAGCCAAGCTTGAACAGAGGTGGGGGGTGAGACATCTATTGTCTGCCACATACAATGCTGTTTTAATACCTCTCTCTGATCAGGTTAATATCGCCTCCCGGCTCTAACTATGCAAATGCATCAACACCTGGTTGCGATTAACAGATTATGTGGATTGGAGCAGCATTCACCATATTTATTCCCAGAGAATTCTTGTACAAGTCATTCTGAATTGAGAAAGCTGGTTGGATGACCAGTGAAACCTCTTCAAGAAAAATACAGCACATCCAGTTGCCCTGCCATTTAAGCCTATGTATAAGGTTATAGTAAAAATAGTATAAGCTTATAGTAGAAAAAACTACTTACTGCAATTTACCTTCTACCACACGACCATCTGCAGAGTAGTCATCAATAAAAGAGTGATTTGCCTGCCACCACACCATAAGACTGCGTTCATCAGGACCAGTAAACACCTTGCATGGAATGACTAGCTTGGAACCTTTAGGAGAAATAGGTAATACACCATTAAAAGGCTGCAAGAAGCAGTGACACATCACGATATACAACAAGCCACTCTGTAGACTCTATTCTACAGGGGAGTGGATGCCAACTGCTGGTAAATTATCAAATGCACACTAGCAGTCACTGGTATCCTAAACAGTACTTCAAAATAGTTCATGAGATTGATTGTAAATGCATTTACATAATATGAGTTTATGTAACTATGAAAGATTTTGTAGATAAAAATCATTTACCCCTATTGTGAAACATTGATGTCAGCAAGATTCTGTAGGAGAGATCTCTGGTGCTTAGTCATTGTTTTGCCAAATATTTAAGATTTGTACTTTTTCATGTATGACCTACAGTACATACTCCCTTGAAGGTAATTATGAAAGTGACTTCCCATTCCACCAGTTTCCCTAACTCATCATAATCAGAAATGAATCATACCTATGGCAGCAGCTATAGTCTTACGACTTGGTTGAACAATGACAGGGTGTTGTCTCCTCTCTTGACCTGGATATGGCATAAGAAGTTTAAAAGTGTCATAACACATGCTAAATGGTATGTACAAACATTTGACACAACAGTAACATCCATTTCCTTTCTATATTCTTTCCATTCATAGGCAATATAGAACATTCCTGTACAATATACAGAACAGAAATGACCTAACATAACCTTAATATAGAATACAGTACGTCTTCAGATGCTAGAAATTACCTATAGTTCGCAAATGTATAATCCTGGAAACTGAGAAGTCTGTGTTCTCATGAGTGAAGTCGAACTGACATTTATAATACCCGGCATCATCGTGACGTACATCATTTATTAAAGCGTATGTTGTACCATCCAAATACTGAAATCTAGAGTTTTCCTCTGCCAGATCTTCTCCATTCTAATCAAAAAGAAAGAACAGACATGCTAAGAAATCCAAGGATAGATGTTTATTACCTGAAGGGTACATACAAAATGAAAGTAGCATGAAACTCAAACTTTTTAAAATAATAAATCCAGAGCAAACAATAATATGGTTCATTGCCCAGTAAAGTATGTCTTTACATTTTTGCCCAATCGCTTATAGTCATCATGTGTACAAACAGTTGGCTCCAACTCTATCAGCTTGAATTCCCAGTACAAGATCACAGTCTACAGCAGCAGTCCATTTACTGGCTTGGAGAATGGAGGATGGAGGAGAAGAGAGGAGCGAGGAGCAGAGAAGAGGTTTGCTTACTGTGCCTGTGTGTTTATGGAGATACACACAGCTTACTAGCACACACGAGAGTGGCTTCATAGGACCCTGCAAGGGAAAGGAGCCACCCAAAAAAGCATGTCAGGGCCAGTGCTCAGGGACCAGCTGATTCTGCAGGAAACTAACACATCAAAGAGCTATGTGTCACAAGACAATATGAGGCCAAACATCAAAGATCAGCATTCATTATAATTGATTTACACAACATTTGAAATTGTTTAGAAACCTTTGACATTAATACCACTTTAAGACTTAAGATGCCTACATGAAACATAGTATTTGACAGGCTGGTATGTCTCTTACCAGTCTGATACACACATCACTGCTTGTCTGTACTATACTTTGTGAGGCAGAAGATATTTTTCTCTATCCAACTTTAGGTAAACTGTTTTCATTGGAGTGCTTATATCTGAGATGGCCAAGAAAAGGGGGTCAGGATGTCAGCCGGGTGGGAGGTGGCAAGCAGTCGAGCGGGAGGCGACAGGTAGCTCAAATACCTGCCACCACCCAATGAGATGCCACCTGCTGCCTCATTATGGTGATGCCCCTGCTTATGCCTTTGAATTCTAGCTTGGAGCTGGTTGAGAGATGGTATCTCTTCATCTGCAGCTTTAATCCACATTTGTTTCCCATGAACAGCTAGTTTTTGCATTTCTTCACATAATGCTTGCTCAGGTTGTGGCACCTTAGGAACCACATATGACAAGCGTCTAGGTGAGATGTCATTATTGGATCTTGCAGATTTTCTCATTAAGGATGTAAGGCGGTTCAGCTTCCCCCTTTTTAAAAGGTTAAATCACTGATGCCAATTTTAGTGATGTCCGGTTCCCTTTCCTGTAGTACTGGTGGAGCTTCTTTCTCAGTTTATTGTTCAGAAGGTGCTCACTGTTATTTCATGAGGCTTTTGACACATAGGTGCATTATTAATAATTACACTTCTGCTGATTGTTACCTTATTAGTGTCTGGATGCAAATTCTGTTTCCCTCTTGTGACTCACTGTAGCCTTATTTAAGGTTCCCATTACCTTCTTTATTCAAGGTTCCCATTAACTTCCTAATTCAAGGTTCCACGTTTGTACACTTTTGTTTAGGGAACAGGTACATATGCTTTGCTTCCAAAGATTTGAATTTGTTTCAGGTTAGGCTGATTTCATTCCATAGCTCACATGGAGTTTTCTCTGTTACTTTTCCAGGTAAGCGGTTTTGAAGATAGCAGATTGCCATAATTGTGTGTTCCCAGTATATAACCATCAAAAAGCATGGTCCTGCCTTGTTCACATAAGGTTGAGTTAATTCTCTTTGCAACACTATATTGTTTTGGATTGTATGGTAGGCTGGAACATAATTATATGCTTCCTCAATATAGCTTGTGTTTTACATTTTGTGTAATCAGCTCCATTATCTGTGAGGAGTATATGAAGTATTTTTCCATATATGTTGCTCACTTGGACAATATACTGTTCATGTTTAACTAGAACTTCATCTTTACTGTGTAACAGGTAGAGCACCGTATACCTTGAGTATCACAAATGAATGTGAGAAAATACCTGTTATTTCCTGCAGTCTGCACTTTCATAGGACCACATACAATCTGTGTGAATAAAGTCAAGGGGTGTCAGGCTCCTACTTTTTGAGGAAGATTTCCTGGTCATTTATCCCTTTATGCAACTGATACACTTCAATATCTGACTGCATTGGTCAATTTGTATGCCACTGGCATGCTGATCTTCAGCTACATTCTTCATAGTTTCAGGATTCCTCTGTCCAAGATAACAGTGTCAGGTGTGGATACAGCTCAAATGTTTTTCCTCTTTGACAGTGTTATCCACATCACTGCCCTTCATCTTCATCTTCATCTTCCCTCTACCCAGAGTAGGGCCCCCTTTTATGACAACACACTTATTACCTCTGAATGCCATTATGTATCCTTGCTTGGTGAGCTTCGTCACCGACAATAGAGTAGGAACATATAGTATTTCTTTGATGGGTATCATTCTGGTGACTGGGATAGAGGGCAATATACAGGTGAAACTCGAATAATTAGAATATCGTGCAAAAGTAATTGCAGTAAGTGCTGCAAAAGGGGCCCAAACCAAGTACTGAGTACATATGCATGCTTGTACTTTTCAGAGGTCCGATATTGTTCTATGTACAATCCTTGTTTTATTGATTGCATGTAATAATCTACTTTTTTGAGGTTGTGGATTTGGGGTTCTTGGGGTTTTCATGAGCTGTAAGCCATAATCATCACAATTATGACAAATCACGGCTTGAATTATCTTGCTTTGCATGTAATGAGTCTATCTCATATATTAGTTTCACCTTTTAAGTTGCATTAGTGAAATAAATGAACTTTGCACGATATTCTAATTATTCGAGTTTCACCTGTAAATGGCCTTTCCCTAGTCCATATACTGTCCAATAGCTGTTGTAATTCCTTCTGTCTTGCTTTGAACCAGCTGAGTGAAGAAAATTTGATCATTATTATTTATATGACCTGTAGCTCTGGAGTCAATGCACCAGGGGAAAAATGATAAGCCACTCTCTGCGGAGTGAAAAGCATATTTAGTATTTGAAGCATCTTCTTTTTCTTCTTTAACATTTTTTACCTTTTGTTGTTTAAATTTGTCTCTAATTTGGCTTTTTGCACACAAAAGATTCACATGCTTTATGCTGCATATTACTATTATTGTTATCCTTGATGCTTAGTGCAGATTTTGTAGTTTTACTGTTTGCACTTTCTGATTTTCAGGATATATTTCAATGTGTTTTTTTAACTTATTCTAGGTCAGTGTTTTCCAACCTTTTTTTAAGTCACAGCAAAATCTCAAGACACCCCAAAGGTAAAAAGGTAAATGTGAAAATGTAAAAAAAAAGTGTGGTCCTTCCAAATTCCATACCAGACCTTGGAAAGGGATCTGATTTGGATTGCAATTGGGGACCCCATGCAAACACACCAAAAAATGGGGTCCCTACTTCAGATCAGTTTCCCCCTTTACATCAGGAGCCCAAACTCCACATTAGGAGTCCTTTTCACACCAGAAAGCCCCTCCGTTCAAATCAACGTTCCCCCCTCCCCCTTGCACTAGCGGCTTCCTTCACATTAGAAGCCACCTTCACAACAAAAGCTCCCTACATATCAGAGCCACCGATTACAGCAATTCTGGGGCCTATTTTACACCCACATTACAAGCCATATAACGTGAAATGACATCCACTTGCTGGTTGCTATAGGTTATTACATTTATGAATTAGCACCTAAGAAAAATAAATCTGAATTGCATAAGGATGATAGACAACTACAATTTTGAAAGGGATAACATGTAAACAGAATAAGATCAATTAATGAAAATAAATGTCCTCCTGTTCCAGGAAAAGCAGTGTTTGATATATGGAAGGATAGAGGCCTGCACGCAACAAACTATTTCATCTAGGGGTCATCTATGAAATCCTTTCAACTTTTAGCCTTGAATTGTAACATCCAGCAATGTGAATAGTTCCATTATCTGGATATCCCACATTTTATTTATAGCGTGCCCACTGGTCCTCTTATCATAGAATGCACTTAGTTTGAGTCAAAAGACTTAATTCACAAAGCTAACATAGTTCTTTTCAGTTGAGCCCAATGAGATTTGAAAATAACAGTCACATGACTTAAAATGACTTTATTTTCATTTTTATTTACATTCTTACTCATTTAAAGTGACACTAAACTCAGGCCTTAACTATTAACAAAAATGTATCTCATTTATGTATCACTCGGCTGTGGATCCTCAAATCATCTCTGAATTGGTGCTGACATTGTCCTTACATTTTCAAAGTATAACTGAACAAACTGAAAAGAGAAGCTGATTGGTTGCAATGGGCATCTACTCCAAATTCTGTCTGCTCCAATTTTGATCAGTCCTCCCAATAAAGTACAGTGACTAGTTAATTATTACACTGTTACATACTATGCACATCACAGCTTACTAGCAAAGACTGATGTTAAACGGAGCAAAAGAAGAGCAGTACAAAGAGACCACGTTTTTTCCTTTTAAATGAGACAAGTAATTTGGTTACTCTTGGCAATGGCTCTGCGTTTATTCTTGTATACACATTCACTACAGATTAAAAATAGGATTGCAGCATGTCATCAAACGATTGATTATGCCACAGCAATGCATGAGCCTAAGGCAACTGGCACCATCTACTGGTGCAAACGTTTACATGCAACTATATAAATACCTGTAACAAATCTCCTGGGTTTTATTCAGTCTTCACACTTTAAATGAAAAGTCTCTCTCTCTAATTGGGCAACTAATTGATTAGTTGCCAAATTATTTTTTCAACCAGTCGATTGTTTGCAGTAAAAAAAAAAAATCAGTTCCACATTTTGATTACCGTTCTGCTCAGTGAACTGGCCCTTTTTAGTGAAAAAAATATGTTCTAATATTTGCCATTTAACATAAAGGGAAATCAAGATGACATCTCTCTCTCTCTCGTGCCTTGTTTTGTTGTAGACATCTCTACTGAAGATCTATGTATGTTAATATTAAAGTGACAATAAACTCAGGAGCTGAATCGTAAAAATGCATGCAAGTACCTTAATTATAAACAAAAATGTACCTTGTTTGTGCATCACTCGGCTGATGATCCTAAAATCATATCTCTATCTCTCTCTCTCTCTCTCTCTCTCTCTCTCTCTCTCTCTCTCTCTCGGCGCCCCCCCCAGTGCAATCTTTTTTTTAGTTTTAAAATAGTTACTAAAAGATTAGTTGCTGTAAAATGCAATGCCATACCTTATACCACTTCAGCTTCATATCGCCAAAATTACTTTCAAACTCCCTTATATCTGGGCAATTCATCTGAAAGTTGCCGTTCTCAAAAGCAATTTGTTCATATTCGATGTCAGACAAATCCGCCTCACTCACAACTGTCAGGGACATTGATATTTCAATGCAGAATGATGAATTCCTGAAAATAAAACACATATACCATTTATTACAGAAAATCCACAACACTCAACGCTCAGAATCATATACTGAGGGTCCTCCAGGTGCTGGCAAGAGAAGGCTCACTTCTGCCTGTACAGCACTCATCCAAGAAGAGCAGTACTCAATATTGCCTCTGTATGAATCCAAACTTTATTTAAGTCCATGTAACAGCATTCATCATGTAAAGCTCCCCATAGCGAGATAAACTCCCTTTTCCCACAGGGCTTAATCATATATCTATGATTAAGCCCTGTGGGTGAAGGGAGTTTCTTCCCAACTTCTTCACTACTCTTCGGGTATCCCTTGAAGAAAAGTTGGCAGATGACAGTTAAGACTGTCATCTGGAAACGTACTGAGATTTCGGTGTTTAGAGGGTTACACGAGTGTGTTTGGCTGGTGCTCAAACTATGGCCCAGGGGTCGTATGCGGCCCTTTGGCACATATTGTGCGGCCTTAAGTCCTCTGCAGAAAGTAGTCTTCAGCCAGTCAAAAAAATATTCTTTAAACTGGTTTCTAATAATGCAATGGCTTGGTTGATTTAACCCATACCGTCTTTTTCTGTGCTGTCCATCCGTTTTCTCTTTGTGTTTTGTTCACTGATCTTTTATCATTTATATTGCTGTGAGAAAATATGGCACAAGTAATTTTTTGAGGGGCTCTAGGGAGCAAAAATATGAGAGCATTGATTTGTAAAAGGGGCTCTTGCAGTCTCTGAATATCTCATATATCATGCATAGTCTCTAACCATCTCTTGTATCATGCTCATAGGCTCTAATCATCTCTTGTATCATGGTCATAGGTTCTAACCATCTCTTTTATCATGCCCACAGTCTCTAACCATCTCTTGTATGATGCCCATAGTCTCTGACATTCTGTTGTATTATGCCCATAGTCTCTAGCCATCTCCTTTTGCATGACTGCAGTCTCTGATATCTTTCTATAGCCTCATGTTTACAGAATATTATGTGTGGACCTTGGTGATGTCAGGGCTGCCCCTTTGAGTATATTGACCACCAATGGCACACTATATCCTTGAAATATGAACAAGTAGCACTTTTCTTTTGTTGCAAAAGTGCCATGTATATATGTGCATATATGTTTAAGCTTGTACACAAGACAGTGATCTGGATTCTTCCACAACACATGTAGAAGCTAAGCAGAGAGGAGGCAAAAATAGGTAAGTGTGTGCTGTGGGCAAAAGCATGGACTTGCATTAATCTGATGATTGCCATTTAATGTTAAATGCTCTGAAAAAGTAAGAGAAAGGAAAAAAGACTGGAGCATACCTGACAATGCAAGTGTAGATACCGCTGTCCTCCATTACAGCTGGCAGAATCCACAAGGCATACTGGTCTGTTTGAATTCTAGATTCATCGGCTGTATTTATATTCTCAGAACCATTTATGGCCCAGACAAGTTGAAATGGTTGCTCATAAGCATCCAGTGGAAAATACTGAGAAACTGGGCATTTCATAATTGCTGCCTCCTCATTTAGAACAAAGGAACCTACAGGATGTGTGATCTGCATCTGACATCTTTCTACAAAAGCAACAAAAATAACAGTTTGGAATTATTAAAAAAAATAACAGTTGGGAATTATGCATTCATGTCAGATACAAGGAAATCAAACATACAAATATTATTTTGTTTGGCATAGCTGTGAAATATTCCCACATTTACCTTGGCATGGTAATGTTTATTAAAACCCAGTTGTTATCATGTTCATATAAACTCAAAATGCAGACTTGGTTACACTAAGTAAAAGATTTTGCCCAGCCACTGCATCTGTCACATAGGCAGATGCAGTGCCCAGGAACACTGTGTTCAGTGACACTGAGTCTGCACTATTAACAGCCTCCATGTCACTGAAGACGCTTGGCCACTGTGCCTCTCGGTGTGATGCAGTGACCAGACAGTGAGCTCAAAAATGCTGAAACTGTGATTTTATCAAGGTCAAAGTTACAGAACTGCACTGAGAACTGAGTGTCTTGTGTTGACACTTTGACCTCAGTGTCACCTCCACCACCCTGCCTCTATGAGTGCCATCTGAGGTGGCCACCTCAATTGGCGGCATGGCCCTGATCACCAATCTGTCAGTGGACAAATAAATGCTACAATGTCTGTGAAGGTTCTCATTCATCTAGGTCATGGTATATCTGTAAAAATAAGTCAAGTGCGCTATGATTTTTTTTTTTTACTTACTGGGAGAGCAGAGGCGAGTCGGCCCTGGTCCGGTGGGAGGAGCTCTCTGTCGGCGCTGGTCCTGTTCTGTCGACACTGAGAACTCATCGACCGCGCGTACCTCTGGTGTCGCATCCGGGTACGGTCAGCTTCACATAAGGACCTTCCGCGCATGCGTTGCCACTCACCGAGCCTTACACCCCCACACTGCGCTTGCGTCTCTTTCTCACGGCCGTTAGCTTCTCCAACTACACACAGCTTCTGTCCAGTTCAACTACCATGCACTGCGCTTCCGTGGTAACTAACAGTGAGTGAGGGCCTGGGGTCCCTCATAAGAACGATTTATTGTATTAGCAGGGAAAAATAGTACATTATTGTCTGCAGTGTGTACTCTATATGTGCTACATATAGAGTACACACTGCAGCAATAGATTTACTATTATCCCCTGTTAATATGAATGGATTAAATGATCCCTAGTACATAATAGTAAATAACATGTAATTGTACTACGGATCATATAACCCATTCATGTTAGTTGAGGAAAATTGTAAATCTATTGCTGAAGTGTGTACCGTATATGTAGTACATATATACAGCACACACCTCCACTATACTACAGCAGTAGAGTTACAATTCTCCCCTGCTAACATGGATAGGTTAAATCATGAGCCATAGTACATAACATGTAGTTGTATTATGGCTCATTTAACCTATTCATGTTAGCAGGGGATAATTGTAACTCTATTACTGCTGTGTACTGGAAGTGTGTACCAGGTTAAATTATCCATAGTACACACTTCCATTACACTGCAGTAATAGAGTAACATTTCTCCCCTGCTAACATGAATAGGTTAAATGATCCCAGAGGCGCATGCATGATCAGATTTGTAGTTTCACGACAGCTGTGTGGAAGCAAATACAAATGTTTAATTGTTCTAAAACAGTCCTAAATTAAAGTTCTTCATAATCATAAAGAAATTGGCCTAAAATCATTAGTCTGCATTGTTGTTTTTTTTAAATGTCACCTGTCCCTTTAAGAAAAAGTATCGGTAATTGGTATCGGCAAGTACATCAGGGGAGGTACTTGTACTTGTACTTGGTCTTGAAAAAGTGGTATCGGGACATCCCTAATCTATATTATATCTCCATCACAGATGTCCACACAAACAGGGCACAGCAACTAACAAATGAAATATAACCTCATATATAACAGGTTTAAAGATTCCTTCCTTTTATAGGCAAGGTCACTGTCTAAACCTATATACAAAAATATATTATAATATATTTTAACGTACTGGTCCTTGGATTTGGTGGCTGCATCCATTTTTCTTTTTTTCAGGCTTTTTTTTACAATTTTCACCAGCAATGCTGCTAGTAACACCTCCTGTCCTAGGGTGACAGTGCCCACTGTATCTATGGAAGAGCAGTGTCACTTAAGGGCAGGAAGTGTGTTAGGACTACAGAACACCTCCCCCTCTTCATCTCTAAAACATGGAGAGGGAGGGGTTCATTAGACTGCAGAGAGAACTGAGCAGGGCTAATAATACTGCTGATAATACTGCAGAGTGCCCAGAAAGTTACAAGCTCCCTGTGGATCAACATTAATTTTTTTTATTGTATATTTAATACACTTAAAGGGAGTAAATAAGTTTAATTGTTAGAGTTTGCATACACTTTATAATATGCTCATGGGGGGGGGGGGGGAACAGTTCACACATT